GATATTTTTTATTTTACTACTTTATTTATTGATGTAAGCTCTTTTTGCTAAATTAAATTTATTAAACTATTTATGTTTTGAATGTTACAAAACAAAATGCTTGTAATCTTGAATTACTTTTTAATTGTTATTTAACTACCAATATTATTTTCTTGAATTATTAAAGGAAGCTTTCCTAGAATAATGATAAAAAAATAATTGGGCAAATCATTCGAGAAAAAATTCTATCAATGATAGCCGACAGTATTAAGATAGAAGAATGAAGCGTTCTCATGATTGTATGAAATTTCTGACAATGATATGCTCAATAATCACCGATGCTACTCAATCATCAATTATTGTTGTTTACAATCTCTTATTCTTTCTTATAAATATAGGTATTTGATTCTTAATAAAATATATAAATTTATTGATTTTTATTCTCTCTCCTCTTTTTCTCTCTTTTCATGACACATTATCGGTATGATAACTTAATTTTTCGTAATTTAGTGAAGATAATAATTTTTTATAAGTATAAATATTTATCACGTCTACCAAAATTAATTTAGTGACATTGAATTTTTTACATACATATGCATCAAAACAAGGCTGATTCTTTTTCCATTTTTGTTTAGGAAATTCTATTACGTATCATGTCAACATCATAGTTCTTCATATTATAATTGACTTATGGTCAGAGCCTAATATTTCCATTTAATTATTTTGATAGTGCATTATGTGTAAAATTGAATCATCACAATACATTGAGATGAAAAATAAAGAATGTTGGGATCTGCAGGACCTTCCAACAATAGAGTTTAACCACCAAGTTCGGGATGGATTGGTGTGATCCTCTACACCTAGGATGCCAAAATATTGAACTATGAATGAAAAAAGGTATGAGAGAAAAGACTAATGGCTAGTGATTGTGAGGCCTCAATTCTTGATTGGAGGAGACACTAGAGACCTCTGCTCTTCCATCTGCAAATTAAACACTTCTCGAAATGATTATTTTTCATCAATCTATATATAAAGAAAAAGTTTTAAAATATTTTTTTATGGATAATGTATATCAATTGGCTTCACCAATGGTTGTTCGATTACTTGATGTGAAAGATGATCTATTTTGTCCACTTGAAGATAGAGAAAATGTTATTGGTCCTGAAATATCATATCTCAATGCAATTGTAGTGTTAACTTATCTCACAAACTACACTCAATCCAACCAAACTTTTTCTGTAAATCTTATTGCAAAATATAGCGTTACCTAAAGGGCACGTTGATTTGGGATTATTATATTCTCAAAAGTCGGATTCGCTTTAGTCGGATAGGTAGACGCATGTTATCTTTCTGGGCCACATAAAGCTAAATCACAATCAAGATATGTGTTTATAAGTGGAGGAATAGCTATATCATGGAGATCTGTAAAGTAATCTTTGACAGCAATATCCTTAAATTATTCTGAAATTATTGCAATTTATGAAGCAAGTAGAGAATGTGTATGATTAAGAAATATGACCCATTATATCCAATCATCATGCAAGTTAATTTCAACAAAAGATAGTTTAACAGTTTTGTATAAAGATAATGCAATTTGTATTGCACAACTCAAAAGAGGTTATATCAAAGGCGACAGGATAAAGCATATTTCTTTAAAATTCTTTCATATGCATAAGATTCAGAAGAATGGTGACATCTATGTTCGACAAATTCACTCAAATGACAATTTACCACAAGTTTATTGATTTTTATTTGTTCTTCTCTTTTTCTTATTATTATTATTTTTCTCTTCATAACAAGAAAATGCGAAATTTCTGTTCTGCGAACCCTTTAGGGAAATAAAATCAACCATACCTGTTAACTAAGCTGAATATAATATAAATTAGAATAATTCATTTTACATTTATCTTTCATCGCCATTCCAACTGCTCTTCATCTTGGGACCCAGTGGACCTTCTTCTTCATAAACTTCATTGGGCAGTAAATTCACCACCCTCTCGAATGCAGATCTTAAGTTCCCACTCAGTAAATTTTCCAGCCTATTCACTTCATCCCCTGCTTTAGTCTGAGTTTTCGGACCCCATTCTCGACCATAATTCAGCCATGGAGGCTCCACCACTGCCGGAACAAGATTCTCTGCCGCTACTATTGAAAACCCACCTGCAGTATCCATAAAAATATCACTTTTTTCAGTGTCATTTCTTAATCCAATATCATCACCTCCCTGTAATACGAGCCCAGGTTTGTAATAAAATGGATGGCCGTTTAATGCTGAGTATGCGACGATTTTGTTATTGGTGTGAAATTCTGCCATTGATGTATCAACCCATGCGCCTCCACTGTGTTCCGAGAAGTAAACTTTGTACAAAACCCCATCGAAGTTGCTGATTCTGAGGGTCAAATGCTCCCAGTCCCCCACGTGTTCACCGATATGGCCCAACGAAATGTCGACCAATCCCAGTTTAGCTGTTGAATGCCCATTAAAGGGATAGAATATCCACATTGCTATATCGGTAAAAGTTGAACCGAACATAGGTTTAACATGGAGATAAACCTCAGAGCTAGCTAAATCTCCTTTTCTTATTTTTTCCTTTGCATTTTCATCGACAGGAAGGTCCAGCCAGTATGTGCCATCATTTGAGCCACCTTGGGGGAGATTGGAGCCATTGGGTTCAATTGGAACAGGGTTTGACTCTTCTCCTTTAGTATACAGTAAAGCTCCATTACTGAAGTACCAGTTTACAGAAGACGGAAGGTAAGTTTCTCTGGGATGAAAGTAAATAAATGGAGAATATGCTTCAAATAATGCTTCGATTTGCTTAAGATTTGGCATAGAAGATGAGGGGAAATTGTTGTTTTTTAAGCATGATAAAGATAAAGAAGAGTCATTGTCTTGGACGGTGAATGTCCCTACACTTAGAGCTTGAGCTTGGGTTCCTCTATTCTGTGGTCGTAAACCGTATAAATTGACTCCATTATCACTTCTCACTGTTCCTTGTGCCCAGATCCAGTTATCAGTCTCACATTCTTCGGAGAAGTCAGTCCGAACACACCGGATTTTATCGAGGGATGGCTTATCCGACGAGGTGGTGACGACAATACCGACGGCTACATAACCATCCGGTGGCGTTGGGAGCCAAAAATAGGCTTGGGTTGTCTGGCTGATTTTCAAGGACTCACTAGTCCAAACTAGAGTGTAATCAGTTGGCTTCTTCAAGATATCACCTGAATCATCTTTTCCCACCAAAACCCAACCAAAGAGTGGTTGATTATTTTGTTGGGCATAGCAACCAAACATGGAAAATCCATCTGGTACGTTGGACGGCTCGAAAACCGTTGCGCCAAGGTTGTCTGGTCCCCCTTCATATGCTGTCCAAACTTTGTTGAAAGATGATACTTGTCGAACTTGAAGTCCCCCCAAATCAATCTCACCACTGGCAAAGTCACCACCTGCGTTAAGACACAGAAACGAAACAAAAACCCGAGGCCAATGTAAGGTATACTATACAGTACTCGTCAGTTTTAAAGAAGAACAAGAAGCTAAACATAAAAACCTGATGGCCAAGAGGGCATTGGAGATGGAAGCTGGAAAATGGTGTCAATGGGCAAGGATCTGGCTTCCTCGTTTGAATTATAGTCGCTGCTTCTCCTAAGAGAGTTTCCCATGAAAGATAGCCTTGTATTAGCAATTAAGAAAAAGGTAGTAAAATTTTTAGAACCTATGTGTGAACATAATAGGATGAGAAACAAATGGCTAACAAGCATATTCCGATTATATGGGGATGAAAGTATTTAAAGACAATGAAGATAGGGTTCCCTTCAATAATTTGGCCCCAATCAATTTGCCGTCCAGATTAAAATAACCAAAATTGATTGTACCTATATATTTTTTTTTTATGCACGATTTTTCCATGGAACTATGTAAGTCAAACCTACCTCAGAATAATCAATATATTGGTTAGCAACTTTAATCATGGGTCCCGTGGCGTTGAAGAGAAAATTAATTGAATATTGATGTATAAAATACGAAAGATTAAGAAAAATTAAAAATAAAAAATAATTATCGAGTTTTCAAATATAGCACAATCGATTATTTTTGACATTTTTTGTGTTGCAAAACAATAATTATCGTTAAAATTATAATGTGACTGCCATCGATAAGTCATACGAAAAACTACTAAAGAAGTTTATTGATGAATGAATATGGATAAAAGATTCCATGTAATTCAAAATATAGTCACCATACCGTGTTCGCATTGGGTTAGTCACCATACTTGTATCGTTGACTCGTCTATTGTGGCGAAAAAGATTCCATGTAATTCAGATTATGACGAAATTGCCTCGATAATGAAACTATATTATAGAACGGAGATTTTCGTTGAAGTAATTCCTATTGGCTGAATGGTTATTATAACATGCAAATCATATTGTAATAACACGTTTATAATAATAAAAATATGAATTTCATGGTCATGCCAACTATAAAAATAAAGAATTTGGATTTTAACTGAAGTTGAAATAAATTAACACGCTTGAAGACTTTTGGAATTAAGAATTTCAATTTCATTTTTGTTAGTTGACATTCATAATTCAATCAAATATTTCACCCCCTTTCGTATTTGTTAACAATTGAATTAATCATTTTTAGCTAATGATCTCCCGATCAAATAAGTCATATTCAAGTGTCTGAATTTACAACATCTCTAGTATATTCATAAACACATAAATCCATTAATCTGCACGAATTCAGTCAAGATTGCATAAGCTATAAAAGCATCTTTCGACCTTATATCAAAGCCTATGTCTGTTATTGCACGAGTAGATAATTATGTCTCCTCTCGATCTCAGTATTGTCCCTAAACCAAGCAATTTGTGATCAACCAATCGAATATCATCAAATTCACACATAATTAAAGTTACTTGTTGTTCATCATAACAACAAATTATTTAGCTGCTCATTATCTTGAAATTAAATAATATACAAATTAAAAATATCAACCAATACAACAAACTGAGAAAAGAATTCAAGCTATTCTTGCTCTTCGCCACACAAATTTCAAGAATGTATCCTTCACATCTTTCTTGATAAACCGTATATCTCACGATCAATTGATAAATTTAGCCTTCAAAAATTTGGTCTCGATTTTATTTTGTGTTGTTGAGGAGAAACGACATGTTAGTGGGCATAATATGGTGTACAATTTTAATAATCAATGTGACTTTGTATATTTTACTATTTTACTTTCTTTCGTTTTAGAGTTGGTCTGCTGCAATTGCACTATTTGATCGCACATATCAAGTCCACATCTAGCCCATATTGTGATATCGATGGGATTTCAAGTAACTTGTTGTACAAAGTTATTGTGGTTAGTGATATCAATTAACATAGGAAACCACTTCCAGATATAGGCAATGTAAATCGTGACACGTTGATGCGAAACCGTCGACCCCCACCTCGGGGGCGCTCTACCTCTACAAGAGACCGTCGCCCCCCTGGGGTGCTCTACTTCTACAAGAGATCATCAACCCCCGGAGTGTCTATCTCTACGTGAGACCATCGACCCCCCAAAGGACTCTACCTCTACAAGAGATCATCAACCCCCCGGGATGCTCTATCTCTACGTGAGACCATCGACCCCCCAGGGTGCTCTACCACTATGAAAAACCATCGACCCCCCCTGGGGACTCTCTACCTCTGTGCAAGACCAATGATCGGCATGCTTATAAGGCCATCTCAACACTTAGCCTCAAAATCTCTGATGAATTAATAAGGTTACACGGCGGTCACCACGAGCACAACCTCCCGGGGTAGTTAAAACTCCCCACCCCGAACGTAGGGATAATGGAAAGGCCGACGTGGGACACGTGGCACCACAACCACCCGGCTCCCGCTCAGCTTCCGACGTCAATAAATACCTCCTAAGGACATCAGGTATGATTTGATTGCACAATGGCCGAGTCCGACCAAGAGAAGACGTCATTTATCACAGACTTTGGCACGTACTATTACATAGCTATGTCATTCGGTTTGAAAAACGCAGGGGAAACTTATCAGAGGATGGTGAACAAAGTCTTTCACAGGTTGATCGGAGATGTTGTAGAGGCATATGTTGACGATATGGTGGTCAAGAGTGCCAAGGCTGATGACCATGTGGCCTGTTTGCAGAAAGTGCTTGACGTTGCTCGACAAAACAGATTAAGGTTCAATCCAGAGAAGTGTGTTTTTTGTACTGCAGGAGGAAAATTCCTATGCTTCATGATCACGCAAAGGGGCATCGAAGTGAACCCGGACAAAATTAAGGCAATCCTAGAAATGAAAAGCCCCACCAGTAGGACGGAGGTCCAGAGGCTAACAGGGCGGATAGCCGCTTTAAATCGTTTCATAAGCCAGGTGGCGGACAAATGCTACCACTTTTTCAAGGCTATAGGGGGTTCCTCCAACTTCGAGTGGACCCGGGAATGTGAAGAGTCACTTAAGAACTTGAAGTTGTCATTACAGGAGCCCCCGATCTTGACCAGCCCATGCCCCGGGACGTGTTGTGTCTCTACTTAATAGTCTCACCAAGGGCAGTCAGCGCGGAGCTAGTGAAAGAGTTCTCGAAGGCGCAAAAACTGGTCTACTATGTGAGCCAAGTATTGAGGGGCGCAGAGGTAGGATACAGCCTGACTGAGTAGCTAGTGTTTGCATTAATTGTCGCGGTTAGGAAGCTGAAGCCTTACTTTCAATCTCACACAATGCAAGTAATGACCGACCAACCTATAAAGCAAATCCTACATCGACTAGAGACTTCTGGGAGGATGTTGAAATGGGCAATCAAGTTAAGTGAATTTGATATTGAATTCAGGCAAAGGACGTCTATTAAGGCACAGGCTCTAGCAGATTTCATCGCTGAGCTCACCATTCTGCCCGCGCACCCGCCAAGGGAACAAGCAGATCGGAAAATTTTTGTGGATGGATCTTCGAACGATGAGGGATCCGGGGCGGAGATCATAATGATAGGGCCAAATGGTGAAGAGTTGGAATACTCGCTGCGTTTCGAATTCCAATCCAAGATTTTTTTGTGCTAACAGAAATCTTGAATCTCCATGCTCATCCCAGGAAGACATGTGGTCAACATAGCCCAAGAGGTTAGGTAGAGAGCCATTGAAACCGAAAATTTGGTTAAGGCCCTAAACCGGTAGACCATGCCCTCGATGGTCGACATAGCCCAAGGGGCTAGACAGAGAGCCATTGAAACCAAAAGTTTGGTTAAGGCCCTAAACCGCTAGATCACGCCTTCGACGATCGACATAGGCTAAGGGGCTGGGCGGAGAGCTATGAAAAGTCAGAAAATTGGCTAAGGCCCTTAACCGCCAGACTACCTCCCTACGGTCGACCTAGCCCCAGGGGCTGGGCGGAGAGCTATGAAAAGTCAAAAAATTGGCTAAGGTCCTTAACCGCCACACTACCTCTCTACGGTCGACATAGTCCACGCGGCCAGGTGGAGAGCCTTGAAAAGTTAAAAAATTAGCTAAGGCCCTTATACACTCATCTCCTAACTCCAACTCGGCCCATGTAGCTAGGCGGAAAGACCTAAATGGTCAGAATGTTGGCTGAGGCCATCAGTCATTGTAATCAGGCCTAGCGCGCGCGAGACAAATGACATTCACCCATGCTATCAAACAGCTGAACGTGAGAAATAACGCTGGGAGAAACAAGCTTCAACATTAATAACCGCTGATGACATAACATTCATACAAAAATCATGTAATGAACTCTTGCCCACACCCGGACAAGTAGGAAACGATACTACATGTAGAAATAAAAGGCAACACAAAAAAAGGAGAACTGACAAAAGGTGTTATTGCTAAGTCATGCTTCAACCTGAAGGGGAAACACCACCACTGCCGCCCTGCGACGAAAGACCAAGTGACCTAGATGACTGCGCCCCACTCTCCTTCCCCTTGCGCTGTGTAAGGAACTTGTCAAAACCTGAGGGGTTAATGGAAGGGTGCTCAGTCGATATCCACTCCTTGGTCAGTTTGATAGACGCTACCATCGCCTTCCCCCATACGAACGCAAAGCCCCGGTATAATTAGACGATGACTTATACTGCTCAACAGACGCCTCCAAGTCCCTAGTGTACCCAGCAGAGGCCTTATACCTCTCAACTGCCTACTCCTGAGCACGAGCCAACTCAGATCGCAAATTGTCGTTCTCTGTCTCCTGCTCGAGGATTCGAGCCTCCGATGCCTCAAGAGATTTTTTCAAGGAAGATATCTTCTTCTTGTAGTGATGAGCCTCATTTTTCTTTTCCTCTGTAAGAGTCTTCAGCTCTAAAGCCTGGTGACGACTCGATTCAACGAGCCCGATCTGAAGGGCCACCACCTAAAGGATGAGAAGACAATATAAGAGTCAAGTGGTATAACCGTGCATAAAAAAAAAGTATGTACATATATATATAGAATTAGAAGCGTACCCTCTGGAGATAGACGCAGCCCTCTCAATATCGTCTGCGCTACGTCCTGCAATTGACCTGGTCCGCGCGGGTGTCACTAAAGATTTAAGCACCTCTATCTCTCGATAACCCCGGGTAGGAGGAAACCCAAAATTAGAAAGTGAACCCTCACGCTCCCCCACATACGATTGGAAGAGCCAGGCCTAGGAGTAAGAGCAACCTTGATAGGCTCGTCTGAGGGCTGGGGAGTCTCTTCTGCTACCTGAGGCCTTCTCTTTGGGCAACCATCTTTTTCCTCTTTAAGGGAGCGGGACATGGCCCAAGGTCACTTCCATGCCCTTGCTCGGGCATGGAGCCCATGGTCCCCTCCATGT